CCCTCCAGAGATCATTCACCAATGTGACCAATGCCGTTTCCGTGCTGTATCCCGGCCTGAAGCCCGACTGGAATGGGTCTAGATAGACCGTTTCCTCCAGGTGTCGGGGGAGCTGCCGCGCAACCACACTCTCCACAACCTTCGCCACAAAGCGAAGGTTGGAGACCGGACGATAGTTAGCTAATACATCTGGGTCCAGATGGATGCTTACTGGGATGGATGCTTACGGCTCCTTCCCTCCATTTTTAATTCTTTTCTTCTCCAACTGTCGAGCTTTTCTTTATTCCTCACCTCCCTCCCACATTCTTGCCTATTAGCGGTGCAGTTTTGGCTTTAAAAAAAATCGGCAATTATGCTCTGAGCTTCAGGAGCAGAAATGAATTTACAGATTTATTTATTTTTTTAGTTCTGGTTTTGCATTTGTTTGCCAGCTGTTGCAAGCTGGCTTTCTCTCAAGTGGTGCTGTTTTGGATGTAAAAGCAGCCCTTCGAGTCCAAACTTCTGAAATGGATGGAAATAAAGAAGCGGGGGTGGGGGGGAATGCAATTTAGTTCCTACAAACTTAATTAATTCAGAATAAGTTCTCAAATCAAGATCGGGACTGGAGCTTTCCCTATCTGGCAATTTTTGGGGGGAGTTTTGTGAAGAAGCTCCCTCCTTCTGTTCAAAAATACATAGATGGGAAAAAAATGGTAGGAAGCCGAACTCTATGGGAGAAGAACTTTCAAAAATATGTATATCATAAAGCCAGAAAATGTATGACAAATGCAAACACAGAACTTTTTATTTTTTGGAATGTTGGAAGATGCAGACTGATTTGGGAAATGGGACCGAAGGAATTCAAGAGTGTCAGTGAGAGAAACAGAATGTAATTAAAATGATGGAAATAATGGTGCCGTTCTGTCTTTCAGGCCAGTGTTGCGATGGCTACGTTCAGGCAGACAGCAAACCTCTGGGCTCCCAGGATTATGAACAGCACATGTATGTCAACACGGAAAACTTCAACAGCTGGGAGGCCAATGCTGGGAAACCGGAGGAGAGTCCTCCCAAAGATCTTTTCGATATGAGTAAGAGAAGGGGCTTATGGGGAAAGAAGGAATTTTAGCCAGAACTGGTTCTAGAGCCATGTTTGGTCTAGTAGGGAAGGGGCTGACCTAGAAACCAGGAGACTGTGAATTCTAGACTTGCCTTAGGCATAAAAGCCAGCTGGGTGACTTTGGGCCAATCACCAGGAGACAGTGAGTTCTAGTCCCGCCTTAGGTCCAGAAGCCAGCTGGGTGACTTTGAGATAATCACCAGGAGGTGGTGGGTTCTAGTCCAATCTTAGATCTAGAAGCCAACTGGGTGACTTTGGGCCAATCACCAGGAGGTGGTGAGTTCTAGTCCCGCCTTAGGTCTAGAAGCCAGCTGGGTGACTTTGAGATAAGCACCAAGAGATGGTGAGTTCTAGTCCCGCCTTAGGTCTGGAAGCCAGCTGGGTGACTTTGGGCCAATCACCAGGAAACAGTCCTGTCTTAGTTCTAGAAGCCAGCTGGGTGACTTTGGGCCAATCACCAGGAGGTGGTGAGTTCTAGTCCCACCTTAGGTCTAGAAGCCAGCTGGGTGACTTTGAGATAAGCACGAAGAGGTGGGTGACTTTGAGATAATCACTAGGAGGTGGTGAGTTCTAGTCTCATCTTAGGTCTAGAAGCCAGCTGGGTGACTTTGGGCCAATGACCAGGAGACAGTGAGTTCTAGTCCCGCCTTAGGTCCAGAAGCCAGCTGGGTGACTTTGAGATAATCATCAGGAGGTGGTGAGTTCTAATCCCACCTTAAGTCTGGAAGCAAGCTGAGTGATTTTGGGATAATCACCAGGAGACAGTGAGTTCTAGTTCCACCTTAGGAATCAAAACTGGCTGGGTGACTTTGGGCCAGTCTCTCTCTCTCTCTCTCTCTCTCTCTCTCAGCCTAGCCTACCTCACAGGGTTGTTATTGCGGGGAAAATAGGAGGAAGAAGGAGTATTAGTATGTTCGCCACCTTGAGTTACTGATAAAGTAATAAAGGCAGGATAAAGATCTAATTAAAATCGTGTTTGCCAATGCTGTCAGGGCCAATGACAGGAGTGTGCAGCTCCCCCTTTGAAAAACCGAATAATAATGCTATTAATAGTTTCCTACTTCAAAATGATGCTCAGGTTAATGAAGAGGAGAATCGGGAAAATAAGAAGCACAAAATTTACATATCTTGGGAAAGAGCGACGAGGACAGGGGGCAAAGTTTATTTTCCCGGGCAAAATTCCTAATCCAGTTTAAAGGAAGAATGGAATCCGGACCAGGTGGGGCAATTAGAAAAAGTTGGACTCTATACTCAAGCTCTATGTCCAAACCAGTCTTTTCAACCACTTTAAGATTTAAGTTTTTGAGCTCCCAGAATTCCCCAGCCAGCCAATTCTGGAAGTTGCACTCCTGACATCTTAAAGTAGCCAAGGTTAACAAAGACTGGTTCAGCCTCTTCCCAAGTTTACAGTTTAAAGAAACATATTGGTAGCTGAAAATATTTAAATACATTTCTCTATAGTGCATAATTTCTTAATGGAATAGCATAATAACAGAGTTAGAAGGCACTTCTTCTGGTCCAGGGTAGGCAACCTCAGCTCTTTTATGACTCATGGACTTCAACTCCCAGAATTCCTGAGTCTGACTCAGGAATTCTGGGAGTTGAAGTCCACGAGTCATAAAAGAGCTGAGGTTGCCTGCCCCTGTTCTAGTCCAACCCCCTGCTCAAGCAGGACACCATATAACATTTCAGACAAGTGACTGTCCAGTCTCTTCTTAAAATCCTCCAGTGATGGAGCACCCGCAACATCTGGAGGCAAGTCGTTCCACTGGTTAATTGTTCTCACGGTTGGGAAATTTCTCCTTAGTTCCAGGTTGCTTCTCTCCTTGATTAGTTTCTATTTATTGCTTCTTGTCCTGCCTTCAGGTGCTTTGGAGAATAGGTTGATCCCCTCTTCTGTGGGGCAATATTGCAAGACTGCTATCCTGTCACCCCGGCCCTAATCCTTCTTTTCATTAAACTACTAGACCTACCCAATTCCTGCAACCGTTCTTCGTATGTTTTAACCTCCAGTCCCCTGATCATCTTTGTTGCTCTTCTCTGCACTCTTTCCAGAGTCTCAACATCTTTTTTGTATCGTGGTGACAAAAACTGAATGCAGTATTCCAACTCTGGCCTCACCAAGGCATTATAAAGTGATAATAATAATAATAATAATAATAATAATAATAATAATAATAATAATAATAATAATAATAATAATAATAATAATAATAATAATAATAATAATATAATGTTGGAAGGGACCTTGGAGGTCATCTAGTCCAACCCCCTGCTCAGGCAGGAAACTATACCATTTCAGACAAATGGCTGTCCAGTCTCTTCTTAAACACTTCCAGTGTTGGAGCATTCACAGCTTCTGGAGGCAGGTTGTTCCACTGGTTAATTGTTCTAATTGTCAGGAAATTCCTCCTTAGTTCCAGGTTGCTTCTCTCCTTGATTAGTTTCCACCCGTTGCTTCTTATCCTGCCTTCAGGCGCTTTGGAGAAGAGCTTGACTCCCTCTTCTTTGGGGCAGCCCCTGAGATATTGGAACACTGCTATCGTGTCCCCCCTCATCCTTCTCTTCATTAAACTAGACATACCCAATTCCGGCAACCGTTCCTTATATGTTTTAGCCTCCAGTCCCCTAATCATCTTCTCATGATCTTGATTCTATCCCTCTGTTAATGCAGCCTAGCACTGCGTCGGCTTTTTTGGCAGCTGCAGCACACGGCTGGCTCCTGTTTAAGTGATTGTCCACTCCCAGATCTCCATGTCTGTTTGTTGAAGACAAAGACAGAGGGTTTGAACAGGCTTTGCAAATGGGTTCAGGTAAAGATGGCTGGGAAAGCATACCCGTAGTTGTGATCAGGAGCAAAGCCTGCCAGTGTGGATTCAGGACCATGGACAGGGCTAATAACGTTGGACAGAGGTGCTCAATTTCTTTTGACTTGCAAAGAGAGATTGCAAAAATAAATAATTTACACTTGATTTTAAATAAATATTTAAAATATTTATTTCTTCCCCACCTATTTGCCAGGAATTGAGAGGGCCTTCTCTGCTAGAAATGCTAAAGACCGAATTGGACATTCCTTGCATCCAAATATTTGTATTTATAATTCCAATCTATGTGGCCACCCGTCTCAGGTTCCTGACTCTGGGTTGTTCGCAGCGCTTAAAAATAATTGCTCCATTTTATTTCCTATTGTCTTGCTACAACTTTTTGCTAAGCTCTCAGTTTGATCTCTAGGTTGTTTTTTTTCCTCTCCCTCCTTCTCTGTTAGTGTTTTATTTGCTTCTTCCGTGGCCAAGTTAGGTAATTGGCCCATTTTTCAATCACTAAAGTGCTCTGGGAGATGTATAGATGAAAATGCGTTCCACACGCACTTTCAATCCTCCTCATTTCAATGCATAATGGAAACTCTCAAAACCGAATAAGAGTACAATTTCCTGACTGGAAACCCCTTATGGACTTTTTACTGAAAAAAAGAAAAAAAATGTGATTTATGAGTTTGGTGATAGAAAGGGTAGATTATGGAAAGAAGGAAATTATGATGTAACCCTAGAGAAGGTAAAATATAAATGTACTTGTAGTTACTGTTAAGAAGATCAGAAGGTGCTTCTTTATAACTTTTCTAATTTTCCTTTTCTCTCTCTTCCTTTGCATCCTTTTCTCCCCTTTCTTGTTGCTTTTCTTTATTCTTTTCAAAACTTGTATTGTTTGAATTCTCTTAAAATTTCTTTAATAATTTTTTTTCAGAAAAGATAAATCTATCATTATCTATCTATCTATCTATCTATCTATCTATCTATCTATCTATCTATCTATCTATCTATCTATCATCTATCCATCCTATCACTTATCTATCAGCTGTCCATCCATCCATCTATCCATCCATCCATCACTATCTGTTTGTCTGTCTCTCTGTCTTTCTGTCTGTCTGTCTACCTACTTACCTACCACCTATCTATCTATCTATCTATCTATCTATCTATCTATCTATCCATCCTATCACTATCTATCAGCTGTCCGTCCATCCATCCATCCATCCATCCATCCATCCATCCATCACTGTCTGTCTGTCTGTCTGTCTGTCTGTCTGTCTGTCTGTCTGTCTGCCTGCCTGCCTGCCTGCCTGCCTGCCTATCTATCTATCTATCTATCTATCTATCTATCTATCTATCTATCTATCTATCTATCTATCTATCTATCTATCTACCTACCTACCTACCTACCTATCTCCATCCGTCAGCTATCTGCTATCCATCCATCAGCTATCTATCTATCTATCTATCTATCTATCTATCTATCTATCTATCTATCTATCTATCTATCTATCTATCTATCTATCTATCTATCTATCTATCCATCCATCCATCCATCCATCCATCCATCCATCCTATCACTATCTATCAGCTGTCCATCCATCCATCCATCCATCCATCCATCCATCACTGTCTGTCTGTCTGTCTGTCTGTCTGTCTGTCCGTCCGTCCGTCCGTCCGTCCGTCCGTCCGTCCGTCCGTCCGTCCGTCCGTCCATCCATCCATCCATCCATCCATCCATCCACCTACCTACTTACCTACCTTTCTCCCATGCTCAATTCTCAGGGACTGTGCAGTTTTCTAGACAAGATTTTTTCAGGACTGGATTGCCATTGCCTCCTCCACAGGGCAGAGCAAAAGTGACTGGCCCAGGGCGAGACTAGCCTATAAATGATTAAAAAGATAGGCAGGTGGCACTAGGGATGCCGATGGATATTGTAAGCCATCCTGACGTTTCCTCTCCCCCTCCCCCTCCCAGGGCCCTTTGAAGACGCTCTAAAGCAGCACGAGTCCATGTCCGCTTGCGGGGCGCAAAGCGGCCTCCAGATGGAGGACCAGTGGCCCAGCCCGCCCAGCCGCAAGGCTCCCATTGCCCCCACCGAAGACCAGCTGAAGCAGGAACTGTGGTACCACGGCAAGATGAGCCGACGGGATGCGGAGAAGCTGTTGCACACGGACGGCGACTTCCTCGTCCGGGACAGCATCACCAACCCCGGGCAATACGTCCTGACGGGCATGCACGGCGGGCAGCCTAAGCATTTGCTCCTGGTGGATCCTGAGGGAGTGGTAAGTGCAAGTCAGAGCAGGATTGGGAGAGGCTGGCGCTGGGCTAGGCAGCCTGAAACCTCGGTTTCATCTGCTGTAGAAAAGGCAAATAAGACAGGGAGGATGTCTCGAACCCTGGGCTTTGCAAGGAAAGCAACGAAAATAAGGGTCCCCCGTGATCAATTCTGGAGCGCGTCACTAGAGGGATCACAGGCAGGAAAAGGGAGATTTTTTTTCCCCCTTTCCCTTCTCTATTTGCTTCCTTTCCTTTCCTCCCCTTCCTCCCCTTCCCCCTTCCTCCATTCTGCTCCCCTCTCCCTCCCCTTTCCTTTCTTTTCCTCCCTCCCTCCCTCCCTCCTTCCTTCTCTTCTCTTC